CGGCGCCCGGCGCAGCGCTGCGGACGAACCGCTCCGCGCGGCGCCTCACCGTTCGATAAGGCTTGCCCGTACCCCCGTTGCTACTCTCTCGCACCCATCCACTCTCTCCGGCTCCCGGCTTCTAGAGGGTGTTCACGATGTAAGCGCCAAGCTTTACTAGCCGCTCCCAGGGGCTCTTCTGCGATACTTTGTGATGTGAAATTAAATGGCTGCAACTCCCGCGTTAAAAGCTTCGGGGCTGACTGACGAGTTTTAATAAAAAAGAGAGCTTGCGAGTTCCGATGGGATCAACTAGCAGGTGGTCGTTGATGACACGCATTTGAATATGAATATTTGAAAAAATGCGTTTCGTGTGTAAACTTGCATAATTCTTTTACAAATTCTGTTATAATAAAATTGTGTATTAATATAATGGGCTTTTGATAACCATCTTCTTATCACATTTGGTATATAAATAATTAACATTACTGATGGTTGTGATTAACTTTATTACACAATTTTAAAAGAATGAGAAGAATAATCTTATTCAGTGCTCTACATGAACTGATATTTCACTCCACAAATGAATTTTCAAAAAACTGTTGTTCATTCAATCAGTTTTTAGTTATTGTTAGAGCAGTTATCATGATTTATTCTCTGAGTTTGCATGTTGTCTTTTCATTGCCTAAGCTATTTTTTTTCAAAACTGTGTTAACAGGGAATAAACTGATTAAATCATATGAATCATTTACTTTCATATATCGTATTGGCTCAAAATTATACACCACTTGAAAACAAGCTATAGTATTAAAATTTAAGGGGAGAGAATAAAAGCCGATGCCGCTCCCTTATTGGAGAGGTGCAAAATTTAATTAAATTTAGGAAACCATAGTGATTTTATTTTATTATGTGAGAAGAAGTAGCGAAAAACAACATACTTTTGAATATTCCTTCAACTAATTTTTTCTTATTGCAACAAGCATTAAGTGAAAAATAATAAGTATATTGTTTTATAAACACTAAAACATGTGACGTATGGGAGAGAATTAATATACTAAGTAGAAGTATAATTTACTATTATCTCATGTTGTGCCTGATATTCGAAAATTAGGTGAAGCACCTATTCTCTCTCATCACCGACTTTGTTACCGGAATACTCTTCATCATTCATATCTTTTTTTCTTCTTTCTCTCGTAGAATGTCGCTCTTACTACCGTATAATTCAGTGAAACGACTAACAATACGAAATGTTGCCTGTCGCATAAGATATCATTTGTTACAAATCGTAAACAAGCCACCACTTTACATTTACACTCTTGACATTTTGGCAGTGAGGCTTGTTACTTGGCCAGGAAGATACATTTCAAAATTGATGTAATGACCAATGTCACATTTATTTGACGTAATTCAACTTGAAAATACAAAAAATGTGAAGAATGGGTTTGGATCTGAGATTAGCACGTCAGGTTTCAGAGAGGTAATTTATTGATTGTTGTGACCATTTTTATTAAGCTTCAGTGAAACAGTGAAGAGCTAACATCTGATATACAACGGCTTCACAATATTAAAAATATCGCATTGATACAGTGAACTGTTTGTTCGTTGTCTTATTCTTTTATGGAAAAAAAATCGGAAAAGACACCGGCAAACTGTTCATGTATGATCACAAATCACTTGAAAATGTGCACGTAAGTTTTGTACGCAGCCGTGCATTGCATTATTCACGAATTTTCAAGTTATCTGAATTCCTATGACAGTACATCACTTTCGTCAACTGTAGCACCATTTAGCATGAGGATTTTTGTTAATATTATTTGCGAGCAAGATCCACTTGACTAGGATTATGTAAGTTATGCGTGTTATTTTTTCCGAATTCGTCAAAGAATGTATGACTCTCCTACATGAAGTAGTAAAACGCCGGTATTTGTACGCAGTTTATTGTCAAAAAGTATTTCTGAATAAGCGCAATGATGAGTATTGTCAAATGTATGTCTTTTGAGAAATGTTAGACAAATTTTTAACAGGATGTGCTGCACCCGATGTCCTTTGCCCTCATTGAATGATCATAAAACAAAAAAAAATCCTCCTAACATGGTCTTTTCTAGCATTTTTAGTGTGCTCGTAATGTTATATCGAACGTGAAACGCATTATAATAAGTGAAACGAAAGATCTATTTGTAGAGACTAGTGTGAAATTTTGTCACAATTTACTGAATTTCCATTAACGTTACCGTAGATCTTATGCCCGCAAATGAGCAAATAAATAGATATAGTTTTCAAAATCCAAGTAATTAATTCATTGTTGTCTTCTAGCTGATTTCCGTGCATAAGCACGCCCTATTACGATTGATACACCACATATATCTTTGGCTATAATACATATTCATGAGTAACAACAACACACTGAACACACACAGAACACATGCGATATAACATACAAGAATCGCTAGCTGAATCTTCTGAAATTGGATATTTTTTTTATTAATGACAACCATGCAAGTTTCAATTTGGACGCTTAGTAGCATGTCCTGGTGTTATATTTTCATTATATTGTCAGAAATAATATAGATCACATTTAAAAAGCGTTCAACAACAACAACGCACATGGAACATACGTAATACAAGTAATGGACGTTCAAAGATGGACGGTTAATTTACAAGTTGTGATGCAAAACAACACAGCGCAACATAATTCTACACTACAACAAGTGAACAGGGAATGGGTTGCCCACTGACACCTTCAGAAGCACATATAGAAGCAGACGAGAAACGGGAAAGTCACAAATAGAACCTAATTTGTGACATGTTCGATGATGAAATTAACGAGAAATCTCACATGATAGTGAGCCTAGGGCAGTTGCATTTTTTATAATTAGACAGATATAGAGAAGTAAGAAATACAGGGCCTAATATTCATCACTTTCGAATGTGTACGTATGTAAAATATAATTTGCAAATATTGCGTACACACTCGAAAAGAATCAAATCTGAAGAATTTTACAGGAATTTAGGAGAAAGAAAGATTTTTATGATTATAAAGGAGTCTACTCTTGATAACTCGTGGATTTCTGTCACATGCTTTCATTTGCATTGATTGAATGAGAAATTACCAAAACGAGCTGTAGGCACTTACATGTGTTCCAAAGAAGATTCCTGAATAGGACCTAAAAACGTACGCGCAGTATAAGTATCATTGTGAACAAAAACAAAATATGTACGTCCTTTAAAGTAATTAATGGCAAAACCAGTAATTATTATGTAAAGTTTATTATGCGATAGTCACTGGCAGAAAAGCATTAAAATGTAGATTCGCGGCAATCTTAATCAAGTCACTGTGAAAATACGTTTATTTTTTCACCGTTCATGGTGAGAAGATAAACGTTCGTAATATAGAAACAATAGCGAGTGGTAAAAAATAATCATGACGTAAAATAATGCATGTTTTCATTAGCCTGTATTTTTGATAATTAATAGACTTCTTTATGCAACTGCAAGGACGCCCTTTCTTATGTAGTAGGAGCACTTTTCATGATACTGTGAATTCGTATTATATTATTTCTTAGAATGTACAGTGTTATTTGTTATATCTAATTATTAAATAATTCAGAATCACTGAACAGAAAGAGTCTTGAAGTAATTTTTAGATATCTATGCTGGGCAACTCAAGAAAAGCAGTACTCAAGAATGGAAAGAAATTTTGAAACGTAAGCAATAGAAAGATCTGAAGGCGCAGGAGATGAAGTAATTGCAAGTTAAAACTTTTAAAGTTATTTTCTGTAATGCGTCACATTCTTTAAAAACTTTAAATCAAGTGTGAATCATGTCGATGATATTACTATTTGCTAAGAAATGTACTCGTAATACACATATCGCGCTCTCGAAAAATATCCAGAAGTCCAGCGAGCGAAACGTGGTGTAGACCCATGTAGTAACCTATGTAATGTTCAGCACGCAATTTTGTAGAAATATTTTCATGCTATAAATCATATCAACATATAAGTTTGGGGATGGTATTGCTTATTTTGCTCTCATGAATGCAATACGTAGGTTCTTACATTAACATAAAAATATGTTTACATAATTTTGCAAGCAAGGCTCAACCTTCATGTCATCACAATAACACATAGATTCGCAATCAGAAAGACTGGTCTGCGACAAACCTGTTTTATCCTTGACAGAGCGTGTGTATGGATAACTAAAACGAATTACATACACAAACCAACAAAAGTAACAAATTTCTCGGACAAAAGTCGCTTGAATTTCGCTCATGATTGCGTTTTATATTTAAATAAATGTACAACTATAACACAACACTACCACTAATTTCACTAATTATTTTTAATGAATTTTCAAACATACTACACTTGAATCAAAAGAAACAATTTTTTCAGCGGTGAAGCACTGAGCCAATCATGAATAACGTATCTTAGACTGAATTAAATCGTTCTCTAAGTGAGTGTGATTGGTGTACATTTCTAGGATTCTTTGCATTTCGAACAAACGAGTCTTGCGGCCGGCGGACCATACTGCATCTCTCGCACGGCCACAGGACCCCGTGCTCCGCAGCCGGAGCACCGACACACTGCCCCCACCCTTCCCGACACCTGCTGACTTACCCAGAGTCCCGGGCAGGTACGGGCACGAAGTGACATGGTTGAAGTTCTGCGACTGCATCTCCTCCTGATCAGTCTCCCGGTGGTAGAAGTAGTTGAAGTTGGATACGATGACAGGCACGGGCAGCGCGATGGTCAGCACACCCGCAATGGCGCACAGCGAGCCCACGATCTTGCCCCACACCCCGACCGGCCTGCAAGGAGACGGCGGGCGGATGAGCGCGGGCTCAGCGTACGGGGCAGGCCCGCGAGAGGCCGGGGGGCCGAGCGGCAGCTGGAGGGGGTGATGGCGGTGGGGAGGGTGCACAGGAGGAGCCGGGAGTAGCGGAGCATGGGGATGAGGCGGAGGGGAGACTGAGACGGCGAAGGCATGGCTCGAGCGAAGCGAGGCGAGGCGTGGCGAGGCCGACTGGTCGGGTTGGGAGGGGGAGAAGAGTGGAGGGGAGCGGCAGGAGAGCGCCCAGGCACCGGGCAAGCTGCAGGGCCCGCGCGGATGCGTGCGAGCCTTCCTGCGCTGGGGGAGGCGGGTGGCGTCGCGTGCGGGGCGGTGGGGCGGGGGGCGGGGCGGGGCGGGCGAGGGAAGGGGGAGGGCCTGGGAGCGGGCGGGGGGGGCGGGGGCGGTTGCGGTGGGGCGTGCGGGACGGCCAGGCCGGAATCAAAGGCCGGGCCGCTTACGGCGCGAGACGCTGAAGCGGAGGCGGGCGGCGGGCAGTAAGGCGGTGTGCGGGGCGAGTGCCGCTGTGAGCGGGCGGGGCTCGGCCGAAGGCCAGGAATAGGACAGACAGGGTGGGGCGGAGGAAGCGGGTGACTGAAGAAAGAAGAGAAGTAGTAAGGGGAAAAAGAGAGAGAACAGACAACACGACACCCAAAGCACCTCTGTCCAGCGAGGCTGAGTGTGCGCATGGGGAAAGGGATGGCAAGTCTACTCGCTTAGCGTCGCCAGCTGCAATCGCAAAACATACACACACTGCACACTGAGAAATTGGAGGGCCGCGCTCGCACGCAAAACACGCTCGCCGCAGCTCAAACATCACAGCACCCGCGTGCCGGACAGAGGGCAGCCAATTGAAGAAACAAGGAAGCACATGCCTTAGCCTCAGATCATACACTATTCAGTGCAAACATGCTACTAAAAGCTGTGGAATACTGCCGAGAAAATATTTTCTCTTCATCTAATTTCCAGGAAAAAAACGAAGAAAGAGAAATTTTCCCGTTCGTAGTAAAACACTTTGAGAAAACTTCTTGTTTGATCATGGAGCTTATCGTAGGTATGACCAACGGCGGTAGGGCTAAGAACACGGATTATAAGCAACGAATAGTTGTACGAGGAACGACATCGCACGCCAACATGTAGTGACAAAACCGAAGAAAAAAGAAACGACGCGGAACCTAGACACCGGCCTCGACGCGTGCTTGGGCCGGCCTTCCCGTCGCAACCCGCCGCGGCAGCGGGGGGAATGCGGGCACTGCGGCGGGCGCACGGGGCGCCGTCGGGGGACGCGGGTGGTCTAGCGTTTTAGCGGCGGCGCTAGCATGAAGAAGGGCAATAGATACAAGAGATATACAGATAGGGGGATGAAAAAGAAAGAAAGAAACAGACGCACGTATCAAAAGAAAAAAACCACTCGGAAATAACAACAAGCTCAGTAAAGGAAGAGGTAATATCATACATCGTTGACTGTTGAACAACGCGATAAACATATAACAAATTAAATGCAGGGCAGCGTTTCATTTGAACACAGATGCATCCCGGGCCGCGCGCGCTGGCCGAGCGGCGAGGTGGCGTGCCAGCCCTGGCGCGGCCCGCGGTTGGGCCTCCGGTCCCGAGCCCGGCGCCCACAGCCCCCGCGCGCCGCGCCGCGCCGCTCGGCGGCCACGCCGCCGGCGCTGCCTCCCACGCCGATCGCGTTGAACACCCCCGCGTCCTGCCGCACAGAGGCGTCCGCCCGCCCCCGCAGTCTCTCTCTGTCGCCCCACAAGCGCACGCCGCTCCGCGCCGCGCATACTGCCGCGCCTGGGCGCAACAAAGAATTTTCTTTCCCGTATTGTTGGGTGTCCCCTAAGTTTTCTCTCTACTAAATTGGAAAATTAATAGAAAAAAAGAATACTGGGAGACAACTGATTGATTAATGTGAAAAACAAACTGAGTATAACTAAGCTACTTGCGCCGCTGCGGCGTCAGGATCGCTTGAACTACACCGAGCCGCTAGCTCGTTGATTGGCTTGAGTCACGTATTTTCGTTTTCAATCAAATTTCAGATGAAATGTTATTGAAATGGACCTTTCTGCATAGTAAATTTTTTTTAATATAAAAAAGGCCGTGAAAATACCGCACTACCTAGCTCGCTCAGTTTCAAATGCTACATAGTCCATGTTTTCATATTGTACGTTATTAAATGCAATTTTAATTGGGTGGATTTTTTGTTGTTATACAGCACTCGCAACGGGTATTTCAGCGTTGAAATCTCATATGGTACCTAGATAGTTCTAGTTTTATAATACTTGCCAATGCTGCTGCTCACTGTTCGCTACTGCAGATACAAGAAAAGATGCGGAGCCAACTCTGATTTACAAACTCACTCCATCCAGGGAAGCGACCAATGCTCTCGTGCTTGTCGTCAAGACATCCAGGCGAATTTCTCTCGTCCTGTACGCTGCCTATTCGGTAGACTTGCCGTCTGCTCCGCTCAGAGCTCCTGTGCAGTGGCAGGTCCTACCCAGGGCCGTCGCCTCTTCCCGTGCTTTCGAACGACGGCCTCCATCCGAAGGACTGCCCACCCCGCGCCTCCCACCAAGAGCGCAACGACGCGGGGCCCGTGCCGCCCTTCCCACCCTCGAGTATTTCAGGCTTACAGCTTATCGGGTGGTGACGCTTTAGGTCAAAGCGACGGTGGGCGGCAAACGAGTCAGGCACGCACGTTGGATAACCCGGCGTTCACTCGGCTCGCCCGTTTCTCTCCGATCGGCCCGACGTGGCAGGCTCACTTCTTACTTGTTTTCCCGGCACGCCCCAGTGCGAGTGCTCTCGTCATCCCTTGCACATCTCGCGCCACTTCCACTCAATCCCTCGGCTTCTTTTTGCTCACTGCCCATCAAGTATTTACCACAGCTATCGTTTACTTCAATCCCTGCCCAATAATTCGTTTATTTTCTGCGTCTCGCGGTGATGAACGGAGTGCCGTCCACTAGTGGCGCAAGATATTGTGCGTTCTCATTTCGACGCCGCACATCTCCACTCTCTGGGCGCCCGGTTCACTCAGCCGGCACTTGCTCCAGTCACACAGCCGTTGATAGTCCCTTCTCAATCCTGTAACATCACCCCTTTTTCTTGTGCTCTTCCCACGCAATACGTGTTGCTGTGTGCTCGAGGATCCAGGAAAATCACCAGATTTGACGTGAGCTTTATATTTTCCAAACTTTACAGGCTGATCTGTTCATCTGCGTATACTACTGACCCCACAGGAGGTCATAAACCTTTAAGATTATTTTTGCAACTTAACAACGCATATTTTGGCAGCACCCTGCCAGTACATTACAACCTTAACATCGTTATTCACAGAATGTATAAGCATGATTTTCATTAGTCAGCATTATTTCTCATTTCATTCGGTTAATCACTTACATTTCTTAATCGTTTCTTTATTCTATGAGAAAGTACCCCCACTGGAAAATCCGATCCATATCCTTCCAGAGGAACCGAAGTATCCGCCGATGTCCTCTCTGCAAGGACACGTGGAGCAAACATTTCTGCGGCGGCCCGAAAGTGCGTTACACTGCTTCGCGCCCAATTGCACGTGTGCTCGTTTCCGCCCCTCCGCGGCCCGCGATGCGTCAAGCGCAGCGCAGCGAGAGGCAAGGCGGCGTCAGCTCGGGCCAGCCGCGCCGGCCGCCATGCAAGTCGCGGCCACCGCAGAGAGGCGGCGCGCGCCCGCCGCGGCAGCCCCGCCGCCGCCGCCGGCGCGCGGTCCGTCGGGGTGACGCGTCGGGGCCGCTCGCGGCCCTCGCCCGCGACCTGCCGCCGGCCCAGCGGCCACCGGCGGGCGGTCACGGGCGACGAGACGCGGGCGCGAGCGCGCTCGCCGGTCGTCACGCCGCGCACGCGGCGCAGCCGGTCGGGGCAGCACGTCTGAAATCAATAAAACGTAATACGTGTGATGTAAAGTAAAACATTGAGTATTCTTCGTACGTCATGTACCATAGCCCACGTCGTCATGGTAACTCACGGCCCAACCAGAACTGGCGTCTGGGATGGATTTGAAGAACGATGTCTCGAGCCTGCTTCGGGAAGTACACACAGCGCTCGAGAACAGAACAACTGCAAACACAAGAGCAAGCAATAAACCATCGGAGAGGGAGTTATAACATGAACGCGTTGTTACCACCTCATGTCACCAACGCCACGGTCGTCATGGTAACCACGCCCACCAAAAGCGTCTGGGAATTGGATTTTGAAGAAGGGTTCTCGGAGCCGGCCTCGGCGAAGTACAAGGCAGACGAGAACAGGATACGCCTGCAACCAGCGAGATGGGAAAGGAGCGCACGCGAGGACTTCAACAGACACAGAGGCCAAGTCTATAGTTCGTGCACACGTTGGGGCACTTCGGGGTTATGTTTTCTTCAAATGATAGCACATACAAGGGTGTGACTTCTTATATTCATGTGCGGGTTCAAAGCATCGTTTACGAGAGAGAATGGCTTTGTAAAGGTGTGCACTGGCCTCTGTTAGCGTGGGTCGACGTGGAAGAGGAGCAGCATCGTCGCCGTTCAGGGTCTTCGGCGGTTCCCTGTAGAAGTTTCACGCGCTTCACAGGATTCAAGGCCCCGCTGAGATCTTAACCAGGCTGACTGGGCTTGAAGGGCCCGAGACAGGGCTCCTCAGCTGCGTCCTCGCGCCCGTGCCCACTTCTTGCGAGCCCGTTCCTTGCGCTCTCTTCGTCGCCTGTTCTTGTAGCCCTCTTCCGCTCCCCGCCACGCTGCTTTCTGTTCTCCTCGTCACCGAAGCCTCTGCAGCCGCCGGCTCCGGCTCTTCCGGCACTCCACGAGCCTCCGCGCGTCGCCGCGGCGGCCACGCCCGCCTCCGCGCCGGGGGGAGGATTGGGGACGGGGGGCGGGGCGGGCTGGGAGAACCCACCGAGGATGCGTCGCCGCGCCTCTGGGCCTCGCCCCGGGGCGTCACCATCGCCGCTCGCCGCCCGCCGCGACACGCCACGCGGAAGGACGCGCGTTTGCGGGAGGGCGGGGATGCGGGAAGGGGGCGGCCGGCGGCTGGTGGCGAGCCGCCGCCGCCGCGCCACCGCTACATACGCTAATCAATGCGGCGGCGCGAAGCGGGCAGCGCTTCCTCGCTGTTGCGGGGGCGGGCGGTGGGCGAGCCGAGACGCGCGGGCGGGACGCGGGCCGCGCGCCGGGTGAGGGCGGTGGCCGGGTGGCGGGGGCGCGACACGGCGGGCACCGGTGCGGCGGGCGTTCCCTGCAGCTTGCGCGTTGCTAGGCGACGGCTCGGCGCGGCTTGATTGCGCCGGCAGCGGATCGTTGCGTCACACTGGCAGGCGAGGCTGCGTTGCACGTTCGAGGCGCGGCCGGGGCGGCCGGCTGCCCCCCTTGGGCCGGGCACGTGTCGACTCTCGGGGCCCCGGACGCGCCCACAGCCGCGACAAGCCGCCTCGCGAGCGCGCAGCGGGGGCGGCGTGTCGGAGGGAGGACGCCGGCGTCGCCACGCGCGCGCGGTGAAAAAAGTGCCCGGTGCGCGCGCGCGGCGCGAGGCGGCCGAGTTCGAGGGTGTACGCTGCGCCGCGCTCGGCGTAGTATCGGCGGTTCACCGCCCAATGGGTTTGAAGGGCAGTGCCGCGCGCCCGCTCTCGCCTCGCCTCATTTCTCCTCGCTCTCTCGTCGCGCCGCGGACGGTGCTGCGCGGACACGGTAAAACGCGGTCGCGCGTCCGCCGTCGCCGGCGCTGCGTGAGGCGCGGCTGGCGCACGCGGCGGCGGGCGGCGGGGACGCGGAGCGCGCAGTGGCGGGAGCACGCGCCGTCGCGCTTGCACTTTTCTACAACTAGGGTTCGGTGCGCGCGTCTCAGCGGGCGGGGCCCACTCCGCCCTCGCCGCCGCCGAGCGTCCGGTACTCACCTATGAACAAGAAAAAAATGAGCAGGCCTAACTCTCGCATGGAGGCCTTTAAAGTTCTTCCGAGGATTTGTAGTCCTTTCGAATGTCGCGACAGTTTAAATATTCGGAACACGCGCACCAGCCGGATCACTCGGAGGATGGCGAGCGACATCGCCTGGTTCGTCGACTTGTCCTGCGGGCTGACGGGCGCCCGCACCACGTTCAGAGTGCTCTCCTCCTCCGCTACGACTGTCGCCAGCGTTATAAAGTACGGAATGATGGCGATTATGTCGATAATGTTCATCACGTCGCGGAAAAAGTTCAGTTTATTTGGGCACGCGAGGAACCTGACCGACAGCTCGAACGTGAACCAGATGATACAGATGGTTTCGATCAGGAAGAAGGGGTCTGTGATGTCGGGCACTTCGTCCTCTTCGATCTTCGTACCGTTGGTGGTGGTGTTGAACACCTTGTAATGCTTGAACTCGGGCAGGGTCTCCAGGCAGAAGATCACGATGGACAGAAGGATCACGAACACCGAGATGATGGCCACCACCCGCGCCGCTTGCGACGACTCGGGGTACTCGAACAGCAGCCACACCTTCCGCTGGAACTCGTGCGAGGGCAGCGGTTTCTCCTCCTCCTTGATGAAGCCTTCATCCTCCCTGGAAACAGACCGAGGAGCTAGTCCTCCGACCGCGGGCCCCGTCGGACTCCCCGGAGTGCTACGGCAGCATAACGCCGGCCTCGTGCTTCGCGCCCGGCTGCGCGCTACACCCCTTCCGCCCCTCCCTGACTACGCACGCGGCTACGCACAACAATAACAACAACCATAACAGCAATAACACCAATAACAACAACACCAGCTACGAGCTAGGAGATAGCGGCTACCGCGCGGACTAGAACCCAGGTCTCGGCCGCGCGCTGGCCTGCTACGGGGCATTCTCTCCCGCTCTCGCACCGGCCGGGCATCTCCCGCCTCTACGCACTACTGTTCAATCGCTACTCACTACTCCTACACACTCTAAACTACTCACTCTGCGGCTCGACCGGTGGATCCGCGCACGGGCGGACGTCGAAGCGATGCAATGTTCCGCTGCGTACAATCGCTAAATACTAATCGCTAACATGTGTACACATATTTACATATACTACAAATGCTTATCGGTTAATACGAAGCAGTAGACGATAGTAACACATCGAGCTTTTAATATAACTAATTACATTGTTATTTCATTTAATCACAGAACTCGTTAGCTGAAATCCTAAGAAACCATTGTTAGTGACGGTCAGATGGGCCAAAGCCTGTGCCGTTGCATCTGATCCTCGACAGGACCTGTGGCATGATAATGTTAGCTAAAGCAACTATGTCCACGACTAATTAGTAACACACTACATGTAAATAAGCTAAGTACTGTATGTTACGGAACACGGACACACACGCACTAAAACCGCATTACACAGATACAGAAACGCTCTACGAGACAGACGAGCTAACGGATACAAGCTAACAGACAGACGACACAGATTCACAGAAATAAACACTACAGAAACAAACAAGCTAACAAACAAACAAACAAGCTAACAAACATCTAGACACCGCTAGTTTCCCTATGGGAAACCAGACTAACAGAAAAACAGAAATAGGAGGTTGCAGTCGCCGTGGGTGGTGGCCGTCTAAATCGGTGTTCGTGATCCTGAAGTCACTGGCCCTGCTTGGGAAAACTGAGGGTAACCTGCGGAACAGAATCTGAAGAATACCTGTGGGACAAATGACACACGTTAGTGAGTCGCTCGCTCTGAGCGAAAGCGAGGCACGAATTTCGCGGGTGAAGAATGAGAGATTAAGTAAGAGAGAAATGAAGAAGAAAAAGAAAATGCGGGAAAGCGTGAATTCGGCGTGGGCGAAGGTGTAATAGTGATTGTGCCTTGGGTTCAGGACAGTGTGAAACATAAGAGAGTACTCGTGTAATTGGACAGGGTTTAGGGACTGACTCGCAAACGGTAAAGCAGAAACGAAGTCAATTGACGTTGGTAGTACAATGGAATTGAAGTCGTACACAGAGACCTTCCGTATGGCCCAAGGTAGGTATCAAAGACGTGGTAATACAAAAATAGGATAAGGACCTTATTAAAATGTAATTATTATTGCAAAGCAGTTCATACATATTGCCCAAAAAATAACATATTTTGGGTAACGAAAAATATTATTTTAATAATCTTTATCAATATTTGGATTACATATTTTGAAGTTTACGAGGTGCAGAGAATGGACGTGTCTGTCATAATTATTGTTAAGGTTGACACGGTGTGGATGTCTTGCCAGTGTCAGGAAATATATTAGAAACTATGAAATGATTATTTAAAAAAATTAAAATTAAATGTAAGTGGAGAGTTTTAAAATTACACGTTTTTATTTATGGGCTTGAATACATTTTGAATGTATTTGATTTTTGAAACACACGCATGATACTAAAGAATGATATATTTGCGCCTTTGGTAACAATTGTATTCAACTGGGCCCAAGCTGATAAAATAAACGTTTGTTCATATGTTTCATTGTCGGTCCTTAAACTTTTTCATGAACGAAACGTATTAATAATTGAAAAATTATATTAAAATTCCTTGTATTTTGATGAATTATAAATACAATTAATCATATTATTTGCGCTAAAAGTTCTTATTTGAAATTAACAGATTCTTGTTTCTTTCGATATGAAGTAATTCTAATTTGTGGGACGTGTGTCATATACTATTTGTATTATATTCAATTTTGTGTGAAACAGTGTTTGGTGTTTGTGCGTCTTGTTAATGAATGAACAAGGCGATGAAAGGTGGATATTTTCTCATGATATCTGGAATGAATGTCGCAGGGTATGGTAGGAAGTACCGTCCGGTAAAGGAGTTCGCTTTAAGGAATTTTATTTAAACGTTATGTCAACGCTTGCTCGTCCGCGGTATTGACATAGCTCTTCATTAACTTCTTAACCTATTGTTTAAAGAAGCACGCAGTCCTACTACGCGAACTTAAAATGAAATTTTTGTAGACGATTCACCGAAAGTACATTCATGAACGACGTTTTCAGCACGTTCAATAACCTACGCTGCAAATTTGGAAGCATCTCAAGATTAGAGTCCGGTCGAAAAATGGCGTGGGATTTTGCGGCGACCTCTGACCTTCCGTCTGCGTTTCTACATCGAAAAGCATGCATTTCGCCGAACACGGTGAGACCTTGTAAGTATAGCTTGGAAATGTTTCATTAATAATTCACCCAAAGAAGCATTCAAGCCTGCGGTGGCTCTGCACAACAAAGAGCACTAGGGCAGTAGTGACCTCTCCCCGCGAGTGGAAGGGAAGAAATATAGAGAACGCAAGGAGATGGCCAAATAAAGAACAATAATATTTACAAGTGATCTTTAGAACAGGAGAAAATTACATACTAATCTTCAACATATTTAGAAACTGGCTATTAATTGACAAAAAATGAAAAAGTAAGGAAAGTGAGAGGCAAAAAATCAAAAATATGAAGCATATTTATTTATAAGTTGACTGTCGGTAACAATACGAATAAATAAGGCACGGAAGTAGGAGATGGCTTAAGTATATATCATGACAATGAAAATACTTACACGCAAAGAGAGAACTATGAGGAATGGGCATAGGTCACATACTGTTTTCCTATGACTCGTGCCAGAATTTTAATACATTGAAAATGGAAAATTTGGAAAATGTATTATTATTATGATGATTATTATTATTATTATTATTATTATTATTATTATTATTATTATTATTATTATTATATTATCATTACTATTTCCTATTTCCAATTTAATAATTAACAGAGAGCAATGTAGTCTAGCAGCTACAAATTGAAGAGTGCGGCTGAACAAACAGCAAAGTGCGGACTTAAATTTGCTGTTGAACATTAAAATTTTCAGATTAAACCTTCCTCTATTATGAATGTTTCATCAAAGAAAACGTGGGTAGGTAGCGCGAGATTCTAGATTTAGTTAAACGAGCCGTGTTTTGTCTTTCGTGGAACAACGGAACACTTGTAAATTACAGCCTTTGATCTCATTTTCTCACGCGTCCGACATGTCTGACCCGCTTTATAAAACGTGAGCTTTTCGATGAAAAAGTGTTTTTGAACAATAAATACGGCTTGCTTTGTTTTGTTGCGCTATTTGCTAGTAAAGAGATTTCCAGTTATTTCAGGACCATTTTTTGTGAGACTAAATAGAACAACGTCACAGTTGGCCATGTGCACAGTTGGGCTAGGTGGATAAGTGGCTACAGCAATAACCTTTTTTTATTGCCTCTCCTGCGTAATTTGATCACAGGCGCTTATCTCGCTGTTTTGCCGTATTTTTTAATTGTTGAGAGTTTTCTTTAAATAGTCAAAATATTTATAAAATATGTAGTCCTTCAACATTTTTATAGTATTTAAGGAACTCATGGAGAATGACGTATAAAACATTTGAATAAACGAGCTCGATATAACACAATGCATTTAATGGCTATTAAATCTCATCCCAAGTCAGAGGCCGCCATCACGCTCACGGATTCACAAAAATTTCTTAATTTAGAAAAGGAATGGCCGCAAGCCTTCAGCTACTCGGGGCGTTTAAGAAACTATCGCGGCGCGAGGAATGTCTCCGCCCGAAGCACTTGTTCGGCGCAACGAGAGGGCGCCGGCGGCGATGGCACCGGAGCGAAGCTTTTATCGCGATCTCCGAAGAGGCGAATCTCTGCCGCTCGGGAGGCAGCGGAGGTCGCTGAAGAGGACGGGCGCGCGAACGGCCGCGTTTGGCGTCGCTCCAGCGGGGTAAGATGAGGTTTCTTCGTGCTTCTGTTCATACAATATCGGGCCGCGCGTAAATCTTCCGGACCGCGCGAAGGAAGAGCGAAGTGTGGGTGGGGTGGACGAAGGAGTGGAAGGGGGAGGGGGTGTGCGGCTCGCGGCCGCGTCTGGTGCTCGGGCGCGCACGCGTGCCGCTACTGCTGCTGCTGCTGGATTCAGGAATAATAAATCCAGGACGAGGCATTATTAAACTAGTAACTATTTCCGAACGCGTAGGCGAAGGACGCCGAGGACGGAGGCAGACGGCGCACGGTGTTCTGGAGAGGAGAGGAAGGGGGAGCGGAGCGGGAGTTTGGGAAGCGCGGGAAGAGCAACCCTGGGAGGAGGGGGATGTAAGGGGGTGCGGAAACCAATTAAGGCGCAGGCGAGTAATTCTCATGGCGGGCGGAACATCTCGTCGGAATGAAAGAGTGAGAGGGCAAGCGAGGCGCCGGGCAAAAGCCACACGCGAAACGAGTGCGATACGCGGAGGAAAAACCACAGCGCAGGCCTGCCTCAAATATGGCCGAGCTTCTCGACTGCTCTGTAGGGCCACGGATGCGAAACTCTCTTTAGCTAACGTTTCAACTCGCATTTGGTACGAGAAAATACACCGATCAGTATTGTACTGATTCCGTGAATGAGAAATATCAGATATCGGATCCGCAATGCCTGGACTAAACAAATGAAGCAGACACACCGGCGTATCTGTACCATGAAGTTACCAAAATATTTTGTCCGGAATTACGGATAAAATAAATGAAGCTACATGGAGAAAACACGGAAATGGCAGAAATGTTGCCACAATAGTATTTCAGTTAATACTATTTCCATTATAAATACGGCAAGATATCTGACCTTTCCTTTTATTCGAGTATATGATACATTACTATGGTTTCGGCATATTCCAATTAAGTTTGAGAGCTAGTGCCTAGTTTTCGGTGTCCGTCGCCCGTACGCTGCTTCGCTCCGTTCCTTCGGCAACGCGAGGAACGAAGCAATCACAACACGTACTCGACGTAGATCGCAAACTGTGCAGAAGACTCCGCAATGCGAGCAGGAACGTTAGCACAAATAACGCATCCAGTTCAATACCACCCACGCAGCGCAGAGCTGCAGCGGGCTGCGTGAGCGACAGGCCGAGCGCTGCTCCCGTGACTTGTCCTCGCTGCTTTTGCCCGGCGCTGTACGTGCGATCGAAGGGATTGAGGGGGCGGGGACGTGCCAGAAGCGCAAGAAGCGCCCGGAGGGGGCAGGCGTCCCGCGGCAGCGGCGGCGGCGGCAGCGTCGACAGTGGCGACGGCGGCGGCGGCGGCGGCGGTGGCGGATGAGAGGACTTTTCACCCGCAACCGTCGGCGACTCCGTGATCTTGACGACTCCTGGCGTTCCCTGTCGTCCCTCGCCGCTGCTTTCGCCCTGTCACCATCGCCGCCGCCGTCGCCGCCACCGCCGACTTCAGCGACGCTCCGCTTCTTCCACAGCGCCTCGCCGGACGCCTGCCCCACGGCCGAGTGCAAGCAGCCAAAGCACGAGTAGACAAATAGACGAACAGACAAAGAGTTCACTGGAACGTCCGTAAATCTACCATGCACAAAAACATGCAACTACCCTTGTGTGCACCTTTCGGCTTCCCGAACAGCCCGACTCCCAGTCCCACGCGATTCTCATCACCTCCCCTTCGTCTCCCTTCCCCGAGCAGCGCGTGATCCCACGCATGCGGTGCGGGACCCCGCGGGGTAGTCCTCGCCGCCACATATCCCCGCCGCTACTTGCTTCCCTCAGCAAAGGAGTCGAGCGGAGCACACTCTTCGCTCAAGCAGCCTACGCAAGCGCTTCGGTCGCGGCGCGACGCGGAACGAGGGGCGAAGCCGGGAGGAGCGATGCGGAGCGGGGGCGAAGCGGGGCAAAGCGAGGCGCAGCACAGCGGTTCCGCACAGGCCACCGCCTCCATCCCCGCCCCGTTCCCACTCCGCTCCGCTCCTCTCCGCTCCGGCCTCGCGCACAGCCCTTTCGTGCCGCGCGCTGCCGCCGCCGCCGCCGCTGACGCCGGGAGCAGCTGCTCCCACGCACGCTTTTTTACAGCGCAAATGGGATTCGGAAATTCGTATTTCTTGTTCGGCAAAAACGAATAAGAATGCCGTGAGAGAATCCGTTCTTTTTTGCTCTTTTTTTTCTTATTGCAACTATGTGTTGCAGGAAATTTTTAAAACACGAGGAACTGTAGTGGGAGACAAACACGGAACGTTTGATACGAACAGAGAATTCTTTATTACGTTTAAATTGATGTCTCCCTTAGCTTTCTCATAAAACTTGTACTTATTGTAGGTTGCAGGTACCAATATTTAAGCAATTTGACAACAGTTGTCATGCCAATAACATAGTATAAAACAGTAATTTTGAAGTTTCTAGGTATAAAATCGATCACTGTCGTTATAAAAGTATCGATCTAGATTTACTTACTAGCATTTAAGTACACATTAACTGAAGTTTAATATCAATGTAAAAATTGTGTTTTATCATCTCGTTTCCATATCGTTCTCATTGTTTCAACGTTTTTAGTGACAAATCTCGCAAATAACCAAAACAGTGAAGAGAATTATAATGAAGCAACAAACAAAATCTCAAACAAACACCTTTCAGATATCATTGGTTAAGTAAGAATCGTCTTTAAGATTTTTTATTCATAATCTGCGCATATGCAAATGATAAGAATAAATTTCGATCCTTATCGATGTATTTTAATTTGTGTTTTATCGTACTAATTATATTTTAGTAACAGATATAGTAAGCGTTATGTTATTGACATTACTTTTTGACAAGAAACTTTATCACATTTATTATATATCACAATATAATTTTTATTACCCTCCGTATATATATCACAAAATATATATTTCAGTAAGTTATAAAATTTACGAAAATATTATTGATCCGAATCTTAACTTTCTTATATAAAAGAACTGTTCAATTGTGAGGGCAATCAGCAAATAGCTGCGGCTTGTGTAGCGTCGAGGGCAACCCCTGGCGATCTACTGAATCGGCAGCGACCCCCTTACCTCTTCGTCTCCCTGTCCTGCGTGCTTCCCCACCGGTCTCTCTCCTCAGCCATCACTTACCGTCCGGGGCCGGCCACCGCATGTGCGCGCCTGCCAGCCGCCCGCCCGCCCGCCAGCGGCGGCGCCGCCGCTCGCCCAGGCCGCGCCAGACCAGGCCAGGTCGCGCCGGCCCCAGGCCAGGGGTCGAGGGTCGAGCCCCGGGCCTGGGCCGGGTCCTGCGCCTTCGGCCACGGCAGCGGCTGCGGAGGCAGCGGCGGCGGAGGCGGCGGCGGCGGCAGCGCACAGCGGGGAGCCTTGCCGCCGTCGCTCACCTGAACTTGTTGGTGGCGAGTTCGCCCAGCTCGTAGAACTTGATCTCCTCCGAGAAGACGTCCAGCGGTACGTTGACCGGGCGCCGGAGGCGGCCGCCGCTTTGGTAGTAGTACAGGATGGCGTCGAACGACGGCCGGTTGCGGTCGAAGAAGTACTCGTTGCGAAGAGGGTCGAAGTAGCGAATGCGGCGCGCGGGGTCGCCCAGAAGCGTGTCGGGGAACTGGTTGAGGGTGCGGAGCTGCGTCTCGAACCGGAGACCGCTCACCTGCAAGCAGTCGTCGCTTTAGGCACGGGTTCTGCTACGCCCACGCACACCGGCTTTGCGGATTCTTAAGACCTTCACGAAGTCAAACATTTCATATGAAGTTGATGGGTATGCAGATGCATTGCTTTAGACATGTAACGAATTTGGACCGTTATCAAAAGGTTGGAACATTTGTTTTTACATAATCACATAAAATATAGATAAAGGCTTTCACAATTAAAAATTGTATTGTTCATTTTTTCTTTAAATTTCCTTATAGTGCTCGTCAACAACACAGAACCTAAAGAAGAATATACTAAGATATGTGAAGGTAATATGGCTATGATAACCGCCTCAAATTTTGCTATTTACATATTTCAACATTTGGCCAAATTAACAGCATCATGATGAAATTTAACACTATTGCTTCAAGGTGAAATAGCTATATCACAAAAAAGCGATTCAGGAATATTTTGTAAACATTGTAATTTCAAAGTAATATGCTCACATGCAGGCTTTATGGCCATTGCCAAATTAACTTGCATGAGCTTGGAACATGGGCTAGTTAGAGTAATATATGTTATAAAGTACTCTTACTGTCTAATGTTACAAAAATACGGCCTGAAATAAATCCTTTTTTAAAGCAATAGCGCGAGAGTTCATAATAGTTTTTATAAGAAGTTATGAGGACAGAGCGTCTTCAGCGCGTTCTTGACAATAAAAGCTCCAGAGTGCGAATGCGCGAATCAACACGTCTGGTAGGGTGTTTACGCACTTCTTGCACTCTCCCAGACTGCATGTTAGCAGAATCAATCGGAAATAATTACCTGCACTGGCCATACTTGCATCACTTATTTTAATTCGTATTGTGAATGGTTTATTAGTCAGATTTAATTGCTCAATTTTGTAAACTTTAAATCACAATAGCAATTTATGTTCAATAAATATGCAAATGATCAATGGAAAATGATGTGAATCGTTTCAATTCGATGATTGTCAATTCCTATATTTATTTGTAGACGTTATTCCAGAATCAGTTGGTTCAATGATCTATCAAGAGATAAATTGGTGCAGAGTGAATTATTCATTTCGTTGATTCATAGAATGTCAAAAAATATTTACCAACTTTACACTTCAAGAACTACTTTTAATATGGAAAAAATATATAATTTTATAGCGAGTAATATTCAAAATACAATACATATGTCGAATGTGGAAAATATTATTCCCATTTGAAGCAGTGAACTATTTTAAAGCTAAATGTTATACATGACATTTGTATATTAGTCAATTGTCAAATGTTATCCTTACATGATGAATATTGTGAAACCTACAAAACAATTAACAAATGTTCTCAGTTCGCAAATAAATTACATAATTGAATACTCATATTGGATTCCATTTTTCCCCCATTTCGTTTGGATACGCGATTTCGAATATAATCGATTGCATACATAATCGATTTCGAACTGGTCCTCACATGTAAAAGAAAACTGTGTTTTAAGTCTAAATAAAACATAAGACGTTTGCTAATACTTGTAGGTGAGTGTGAGTTCTATATAAACATTATATGCATGTAAAACTATGTTAATACCTTCCGCGTCCGAAAACAAATTTCATAGAAGCGCTACTAGTGCGTTTTCTTCCTTCTTTTTCTCGCAACAAGATACTTCACAACATGTTAAACTTTATGCATATAAATTTTAATTTAGACATGCCGTAGTCACTTTCCGGAGAACGCTCTTCAATAATTTTCTTCAAAGTTCTTCAGTGTTTCTGAACATGTGTTTTATTTTGTGATGCAATAGTCATTGGATTTTTTGAATGGTGCTAAATGTAAATAGTACATTTTTATTGGCAAAATCAATCTTTATTCTAAGTATTATTAAAATAATTACCGACTGTTGGTCATTAAAATAAAATGTATGCTCCGCCTGCCCTATGATAAACAAAAATGTATAGTACGAAAATTTTCAGTACGTGCGTATACATATGTACCTTTCAGCGTAAATGCCTAGTCAGCTAGTGCCCATTAAAATTTTTCCTGTTCAATTTCTGTACATAATTCATATTTATTAACAGTATTGCACGAATCGTAATTTTGCAGTACGAGAATTCACGTATGGCAATGAATAACGTGCCTCCGCCTTCCCCAACCTTGTCCGAAACTTTCTACAGAGTAAAGCTATCGTTTTTAAAATCGATTCGTTTTTAAAATCGAACATCCTATAGGCAGTGTTGGGGGATCTCGGAAGTTTGTTTTATTATTTCTTGTTCTGTAAGGGAGAAATCAAAATTACTTGGCAACTGCTCTTTGGAAAACAAATGCAACTCACGTAACAGAGAAAACTCCAAACCACTATTCTCCGACTTTAGAATTATTTTTGTCGTGCAAAAAAGAACTGCATTTATGAAAATTACAAGGAAACATTTCTGACAGCAAATAAACATGTAGAATATTTTTAATTGTGGGCCCATGCTCTTTGGTATTCTGAAAAAGGGGAACACTAGAACAATTCGTAATTCTTCATCAATTTATGAATTTATTGCAAACTAATTCGGCATACAGTGCCAAACAACAAATTCTCTATTATCGATCGTAAGTGATTTAGATGAGTTGCAGTGATTGCAATAATATGATACAAGAAAATAATTTAAAAAGTAGTGAAAAAATGAAATGAAACCATATGGTTTAATAATATTAGCACAAAACATATTAAATATTGTGAGTTCGAATGATTATATCTAATGAAAAAATAATACACAATACCTAATAATAAATTTCTTGAACGTTATAGGAAAAATCGTAAACCACTACTATGTTGCCCGAAGTCAGCTATTTCCTTGCTTTATATCTTATAAAGCATACTAGTTGAACAAACACGTTGATAAAAAATTGATTAAGCAAATTTGTGCTCAGTGACATTCAGTTGAATTAAATAAGCATGACTATTCCATCCGTGAAATTAAACCAATTGCGTTCACCATATGACCGGCATCAACAAATCAAGAATAATCGACATATATGCACTAACAAAATGTGAATTTTTATTACTAATTTTTCTTACGTCCTTCTCACTACAGGCGAATCCTAAGCTGTGGTGGATAGGGAACGGTGTGCTTTAAAAGCACGAGTTTCATTAATATAATTTATTTGACGCTTTTTGAAATGTATTTTAATTCACAGAATAATTTTTTTGGCATTCGTGCTTTAGAAATTTTCTGATAAATTCTCTCGACACTACGTGAATTTATCAGAAATTTCCATTGTACTCTTATTACCTATGATAGTCCGCGACGATGAAATCTGGCTTTTGCATTCCTATGTCACTGCCCACCATACCCTTGCCAAACACTAACTGTGAGTTCTGAAATTGTTGAACATAAAATTAATAGAATCGTTGAGATAAACGGAGAAATAACGCTTTGAGGGCAGTAAATATATTTCCTTAGCACTTGGGGATTTCTTAATTTCACAGATTTTCAAATCAGAAATGCAATAATCTGTAGAAGAATTTAAAGGACGAAATTTAGTGTATTGTTTAAAAAATTTTTGAATTAAGCATTCAAAGCCTACATTGTTTTAACAAAATGAATGTGAGTGCAATTCACTATTCAAGGAAAATAATGTCAACCAAGAAGACGTGTTGCGACGTACTACAGAGCTGTCTTTCACCCTGAATTTCATTTCTTTCTCAATAATAATTTTCTTTTGCTTTACTACATTCAGAAAGGTTTCCAATGTCGAAATGGAAGGATTTGAGTTCGATATAAAAAGAGAATTCCGTCACTATGTCTCTTCAAAATTAATCTCCAATAATATAATAGAACTTTCCACATTGAAAATTCGTAAATATTTCATTACTGATTTCTCTTGGTAATCATCAAAGAACACGTATGGAGTTTAACCTCGAGAATGTGAATAGTGATAATTATTATTTATTTGAACAGTAGCTTCTGTTTAACTCCACAAATCACGAACGAGCCTGAGAGAAAGACTGGGAAACTTACTTTGCTTCAGTTATAAGAAAAGTAGACATCGCGTACATTTTAGAGTCCAAACTAATAGAATATTTCACAAGTTACCATACACTGAAACACGAACCCAAATAGTTATCAGAGGGAAAGTCCTTTTCCGTAGAAAGATAAAGAGGATTTGCATGGGCTGCACTATGTACTTGAATGAGCTTTTTAGCACAGCACACAGAAAATTGTCCTCTGTTTTTCAGATTGGAAAACAAAATTTTAATTGAAAGTATGGATTTTGACTTGAGGAATCGCCAAAACTGTTGATAAATTTACTATTTACAACAAATTATTATTTACAATTATTACAATAAATATAACTAAAATAAGACAATACGATTACTGACGATGCAATTGGACAGATTAGGATTCTCATATAATAACTGTGTTGAAGAAATTTAGCCTCCCACTATCCATACCTTTTCCATTACCAACCTAAATTTTGTTTTAGATTCTTGTACTTCGTCAGATCTATGCGACCTTCAATCACATTCGTTAGACTTCCAAATTTCAGTTCTCTCCAAGCGATTAACATCGCTGACATCAAAACTTTGCATTTGGATGCACGCTCAGAATGAGTCACGAAACCATCGTACCTAAGGGAGCTTCCCGCTTCTTTCACTTAACATTGTTTTGTCAAAGCATAGTTTCTTCAATAGTCTAAGAATTATGGCACTGCGTGCAATGTACAGCTTGATAGCGTTGCGTGTGATTCCCGCTTTAGCATGCAGCGTTATACAACACGAGAGTGTCACGATACATGGCACTATAACATTCTTCAGACCCATCGCAAATTCTTGTAACTGAATTTTATTACTGGCGGAACGTTGTTTATTTTTGCGCTTCACAGAACTATATTTTTGGAGAAGTAAAAGTGCAAAGCTACATTTTAAAGTTTATACGTTACACGGTGATTAAAATGTTGGAATATTAATTAGCATAGCTATTTCAATGTCGAGAGCGAATCTTATGAGAATATCGTACAAATGAAACAA